CATGCTGCTCATTTTTGTGCTGTCCATTTACTGACCACGAGTTTCTGTTTAATGTGTGACTAAGAGACATGTTAGGTGAATAAGTTTTTGTTTGTATTTTAGGTCATAAGTATTAAAGACAACGACAGCTTGGCTGCGCGGCTGGCTGTTGAGATGAAAGCTGATCTTCTCATTGCTCTGTCTGACGTTCAAGGTACAGTGAAGAAGGAAATGTTTGCTGTTGACAAAAAATGACATATAAGCGATTAATTAATTTCAGCATTCAGTCTGATCAGTGTGTCACATTTTGACTTGAAAATATTTGCCCCCTTTGCTTTGCTTTGCTTTTAAAAGTTCTCCAGATCTGTCAGGCTCCTTTGTCCATATACTTGTTCAGGTGAAACCACTATTTTTTTTCCTGTCAGATTTAGTACTGAACTTTGACTGGGCCAACCTAATATTTATTTTTCTGACAGCAATACGTTGTCAGTTTGGATGTATGCTTTAATTCACAGTGGTACTGAAAAATGAGTAATTTTCATCTTTTTAGCTCCAATCTGAATGTTTTGGTTTAACAATTTCCGATGTTTCGAATTGTACATAATTTCGTCAATTTAACTAATCCTCAAGTTTATCTTTGAAGAAAATTACTGTTTAAAAGTAGTTGGGTGTCTAAGACTGTTTGTAAATCAGGTAGGTTTTAATTTAAATTGATCATAAAAGTCTTAAAACATCCTAAGTTTTACTCAAAGTCAAAGTTTTAATGTGTAAAATTGTGACCTGCAGGTTTGTATGACAGTCCTCCTGGAACCGACGATGCTAAGCTCATTGACATCTTCTACCCCGGGGACCAGCAGTCAATCACTTATGGCACCAAGTCCAGAGTCGGCATCGGTGGCATGGAGGCCAAGGTAAACACTACAGACGATCTGTTATCTCTGATTATAAATAAGGAAGATCTTAACTTTAAAAATGACAAAGTTCTGACTAAATATTTGCTGTGGATCAGGTGAAAGCAGCCCTCTGGGCACTTCAAGGAGGGACCTCTGTTGTCATCGCCAACGGCACGGATCCTAAAGTCACAGGCCACGTCATCACAGACATTGTCGAAGGGAAAAAGATTGGCACCTTTTTCTCCGAAGTAAAACCTGCAGGTATTTATCGAAACCACATGGATAAGGTACTTGATCCTTATTTTTGGATGTGCATTTAATGTTGACCTGTGTATGTATTGACCACAATCAGGACCGACTGTGGAGCAGCAGACGGAGATGGCACGGCACGCTGGACGGGCACTTGCATCTTTACTCCCTGAACAGGTATGTAGGTGAAAAATATCACCCCAAATGAGGAGCTATTAGGAAATGATGTGCGTTTTTATTTTATTTATTTTTTTAAATCATGCATCGCAATGTTTGTGTTTTCAGAGAGGAGAAATCATCTGCTGTCTTGCTGAGCTGCTTACAGAAAAGAAGGATGAGATTCTTAGTGCCAACAGGAAAGACATGGAGTTAGCAACTTCAACAGGTAGACCTCATTGCTGCTGCTGATGTGGAAAAGAAAATGGTTCCTTTCATTCAGAGCTGAACCAATCTTATTTTTCCTTGTCTTTAAAATCTGATCTCACAATATCAATTTTCATTTTTCAAAGGAATGTGAGACACATTTTAAAAAACAAAGTAGTTTTAAAATGACTGTTCTTCAAAATGTTCTACATTTGGGTATCAAAACACATGTCCCTAACCTTTTTTTCTGGTCATTAAACTCCGAACAAATTGCACTGAAGTACACCCTGTTAGTTTATGTGCTTTATAAACATAAAATAATGGGTGAATTGAGGCTTTACAGTATTAATCGGTGCATCTCGAACAGTTTTTTAAAATAATCACTCTGCACTCAGGTTGCTTGTCGCAGCCTCTGATCAATCGCCTCAGTCTGTCTACTGCTAAGCTGAACAGCCTCGCCATCGGCCTGCGCCAGCTTGCCGTATCTTCTGGGAACAGTGTGGGTCGGGTGCTGAGGCGGACCCGGGTGGCTAACAACCTGGAGCTGGAGCAAATCACTGTTCCCATCGGGGTCCTGCTGGTCATCTTTGAGTCACGTCCTGACTGCCTCCCGCAGGTAGAACAGTCCCAGGACCAACAATTCTGCTATTCTTAAAATTTCGGATTAACAGAACCGATGCATCGTACTATAAAAACTCTTTGCAGGTGTCGGCCCTCGCGATTGCCAGCGGAAACGCTTTGCTTCTTAAAGGAGGCAAAGAAGCGTCAAACACCAACAAAATCCTGCATCAACTCACACAGGAAGCGCTTTCAATTCATGGAGTAGCTGATGCCATTCAGCTGGTAAGGCTTGTTTATTCAGTCACCTCCTTAATTTTCTACTTGCACTAAAATGTAAAATGTTATAAAGGTGAGCACGCGCGAGGAGGTAGAGGATCTGTGCAAGCTGGACAAAATGATCGACCTGATCATCCCAAGAGGTTCCTCTGAGCTGGTCCGAGACATTCAGAGGGCAGCCAAGGGCATTCCTGTGCTGGGCCACAGTGAGGGTGTCTGCCACGTTTACGTCGACAGTGAAGCCAGCATGGACAAAGCCATTGATGTTGGTATGTATTAATGGGACACAGCTGAAAAGTCTTCATTCTGGGATTTTGTTCAAGCTTCATATCTCTTAAACCTTTTCATGTCCTGTCAATTACAACAACAAACTACAGTGTGTGCTTTGCAATGTGTTTCATTGGGATTTTATGTAGAGGACCAACACAGAACAGTTAATTGTTGGGACTTGAGAGGAAATTCAGGCATGCGTTTGGTGTGGCATGCTTTTGTTTTCAGTACCTCTGAAACAATAATTTGCTGAATTTTGGGGTATATCGCTAACAGTTTTGTAAATTTAGAGACTTAAATCTTTGTTGTTCTTCGCAAAACAGTCAGAGCTAGTTCTGGACTTTGACTAGGCCATTCTAACACATGAATAATTTTGATCCAAGCATGTTATTGTAGCTCTGACTGTATGTTTACTTAAAATCCCAATAAGACACAAGTTTGTGATCGTGATGTGGTAAAAGATGAAAAAAGTTAGAATGTTTATTAAAATGGTGAACATTTTGTCGCTGACTGAACATGGAGACTCTCTTTTGTTCTAGTCAAAGACTCCAAATGTGACTACCCTGCAGCCTGTAATGCCATGGAGACCCTCCTTATTCACAGAGATTTGCTGCGCACTCCTTTATTCGACCAGATCATTGATATGTTGAGGACAGAAGAAGTAAGAAACAAGCACTGACACCAAATCTGGCCTCCACTAGAAAGGTAGCTTTGTTCTTTGTTCCACTGATTATTGTTGTCTTTCAGGTAAAGATTCACGCGGGTCCTCGCTTTGCATCGTACTTAACCTTTAGCCCGTCTGAGGTGAAGTCTCTCCGTACAGAGTACGGGGACCTGGAGTGCTGCATCGAGGTGGTAGACAGCATGCAGGACGCTGTGGACCACATTCACAAATATGGCAGCTCCCACACTGATGTCATTGTCACAGAGAACGAGGAAACAGCCGAGCAGTTCCTGCAGCAGGTCGACAGCGCCTGCGTGTTCTGGAACTCCAGCTCTCGCTTTGCCGACGGATACCGCTTTGGCCTGGGTGAGCAAAACATTAGGCATGCCTTTATATACCTCCTTATTAATAAACAAAGCCTTCAAGTGAAAAATAATTGATTTTTCCACGTTTCTTTTAAAACATTTTTTATTTAATCACTGCAGGAGCTGAGGTTGGCATTAGCACAGCAAGGATACACGCCAGGGGCCCAGTGGGTTTGGAGGGACTCCTTACGACAAAATGGGTCCTTCGAGGAGAGGGGCACACTGTTGCAGACTTCTCCGAGCAAGGCAGTATGAAATATCTCCACGAAAGCATCCCGGTCCCACAGGGACATATTAATTAGGAGATCTCCCAGCTGGAGCCAAACCAACAGATGTCTGGAAAGAGTTTATTAGAGCCTTGTGTCAAACGGTATAATTTCAACTTCCTAGCTGCTCCTTCATCACCTGTTTGAGTTTACTATATCAGTGCAGACTTGCAGATGCCATCGGGTTGATTTTTGTAGATTTCCAATTTCCTAATTGTGTGAACCAGTGCTGAAACCTGTGAATCTGAATTTTTCAGTGCATCAACAAAACGTACATTTTGCTAAAGCAACAACAAAAAAGCTGTGCATAATGCAGACATGAAGTAAAGCTCATTTTCCCTTCTATAAAGTCATTTTTGTAACAAGATTTTAAAAAAAATGGATCATTGGCTCAGCTGTGATTTTCTAATTTATTTTTTTACATTTAAAGTCTCCCTTTGTTTTGTAAATCACTGCAAGTACTGTTTGTGCAAGATATTGGTTCTGATTTTTTTTTTTTGCTGTCCTCTTTGCAGAGATAATTTAATAAATATGGTGTACAGTTCTTAAATCATGAGTTTGTACTTTGTACTTATCAGACTATATATAATTGCAAGTACTGTACATTGTTCAATTTATGTGATAAATCAGAACAAAGAACTGCAAAACTGAAGTGGAAGGAAAAATATACAAAACAAAATCTGTGGCTGTTTTTAGCCCTATTAATAACATCTTTAGGATACATTTTACCAAGTAACCTCTTTAATAAATTAAATTACTTAAACCAACTGTTCTGTAGGGCTTTTATTTTTGTTGGAGAACAGTACAGATGTCTATAAGAGATCCTTCCTTCCCACAGCCATCAGCATCTACAACAAAAAGTAATTTTTAGTGAATAAAATACACTGAGCAGTAGTTAAGTGCAAAGTTCTGACCAATCAAGTGCAAAGAGACATGATTGTTAATCTGTTGTAACAATACCTCCCATTTACATGTTACTATTGTACTCAATACCGTGAAATTGTTTGAAAAAGATTAATACAATCTCAATTTTGTGAATATATTAGAGGCATCTATTACAGTGGATTTTAATGTTCTCAGATTAACTCAGACATGGAGTCTTTGAACGCAGCACCTCAGACGCATAGGCTGTGGGCGGAGTGTCCGTCACCGGTTGACCTACCAAACTCATCTGTCAGCTGTGTGTCTACATTGTAAAGATGGCAGGAAACAACTCTTATACTATAGTAGAATATTTTGGAGGGGATGATGGCTACCGCTGCGGTTACTGCAAAAATGATAAGGGAAACTTCTCTCACGGTAGGTTCGTTTGAAGATCTCGAAGAAACGGAGTTGGGCATTTAACTGAGCTAGCTAATGCTAATCACGCTGAGCCGTGTACGTGCTTGAAATAGGTAAAGAAAAAGGGAAAAGGCGATGTGTATTTGAAGTTAATTCTGTACGATTTATTATAATGTCAGTATATGTTACATTTTAATTGTTTTATTTTTTGACTAGACCCTTAAATGAACACTTTCTGAGCGTTAGCTTAGCTTTTAGCCGGTAGCATCCTGTAGCTTTACTCTGAGAAGGAAACCCCCCAAAACCCAGCACTGTCATTCAGTGAAACTAGGCAAAACAGAAGCACATTATATGGTACCTCTGTCATGTTCAACATATTTTACTACAGGTTATTTACGTTACTTCAACAAGTTATTTGTACTCCTGCTAGCTATTGAACAATACCGCCTGAGTAAACTATTTCCTTCGACGCTGTTTCCGTGTTATGTGGAAAGAGTTCGAGTAAGATCATGTTTTCTCTTTGGATCTGTGTCTTTAACTGGAGTGGCTTGTAGAAGGTATCGAACACCCATTAGCTAGAGTGCATCATCAAGCATTTGGTTTGATGTAGACTGCTGCATGGGGTCAGACAAGTTCAGCATGACATAAACAAACGTCAGAGACGTAAAACTGCAGTTACTGTATTTACAACTTGTTATTTTTAAAAATGCATTATCAGTTGCCAAGTAAACAGAGACAGGAGGTAATTGATCAGATCCAGTGTTGCTAAACATTGATCTAAAAAAGAGTCAGTGGGCTGATTATTCAATGGACTTTAATGTGTTTTACTTTAATGCTGTCTATTTTAAGATCTGAAATGTATCCTCTTCAGACTTTGTTGGGTATATTAAGTTTCATTATTATCATGTTTAAAGAGAGGTCAAGTGGGTAATAACTAGTTAGTCGAGGAAAGTTTTTGAAAAAAACAACAAACAAAAACATTTTGGAATAGTTTTGCTACACTTGACTTGTTATAAATTATCACTACTCTTAGCTGAAAGAGATTTGTTGATACCCTTCGTAATGCTAAATGAAGAACAGTGATGTTTTAACCAGAAATCAACCAGACTCACACATATATTTGAATTCTTGTTTATAGACTAACTTTGTTGTTCTATTGTCATTTTCTGTCTGCTTTGCAATTGGTCATGAAGATGCAGTAAGCTCTGTATTGTCACTGGAGGTACTTTCCTCTGGTCCAACATATATAGATTACTTTAAGTATATATTTTATAAGTTTTCTATCGAAAATTTTTGATGTGGAAAATGGTTTCTTCTGCCTAAATGCTATATATTTTTAATGATGTTGTTTGTATTTGTTTCATTTTAGTTTTCAAAATAACAGTTTGCACATATTGATATTGTAATCATGATTGATTTTCAGTGTATTGTGCAGTTCTTCTTCCTATGCTCTGTTATTCTTTTTACATTTGTTGAACTGTTCTCTTGTATTTTCTTTTATTTTGTCGGCCTTGACCACAGTGTGAACATTTTTTGCACCTGAAGTAGACCATACACATGTTGACACACATACTTATCAAACCCATCTTTCACAATCAGCACAAATCTATATTCTCTGGTTATTCACCTTTATGTTTTTTTAGCTGGAAGCCGCAACAGATTTCAGATTATTACTTTTTTTTTTTTTTTAAGTTTTCTGCTTATTTTCTTCTGTTTGTGTAATTATATTGTGGTTTTCCATCTTTAATCTCAACTTTAATCTCAAGTACATTACCATGAAAAATGCATACAAACAGTCTACTACCAAAAGGTGCATGTTTTCCTGAAACTGAATGGGTTATGGGGCATTAATATTTTAAAACAACAAAAAGTAAAGCAGATGTGATTTTTTTCCTTCAGGGCAGAATGGTGGTATTAATTATAATCAGGTTGACTATACTTAGGTTTCAGGCAGCTCCTAATGCAGTCAATGAGCAACTGGGTACAAAGTCTGCAGACGATAGCTGTGATCTAATCCAAGAGTGATAATCTGGGTAGGTAACGTCATGGAGGCATGGGAAAGCCCCAGGAAGTCAGAAGACATGAAAACATTCTTGCATGAAACATGAATTTTCTGCATAACCCAAGGAAAAGATGTGTAGTCAGTTTGTCTTCAAACTGACTATAATTTTCTTACATTTTTATGGCTTTTGTGTGATATTATGGATGTAAAGAGTTTATTTTCTGAGGAAAACATACAGATTTTAAAATATGGCAGTGATTATCAGATAACTGTGTATGAACAATTTGTCTTTCCGTATTCACTGTTTCATTAGTTTCCATCACTGTGATTGGTTGGATGATGTTATCAAGGCTTCTGTTGTACACAAAGCACATCTCACTCTGCAGTACAGAGCCCAACATCTGCTGCTATTGTGTCTGTTTTGCTTCAGGGAAAAGTGAAGAATGGATCAGGTGATTGTTTTGTGCTGCAGGAACAGCAGCTTTTTTGTTCACATCAGTCGCATGTGAGTTGTTCAGTTTTACCTTTACGTTCTGCCACAACCGGCTCTTTCGTGATCTTAATGTGGCCTAAAATGAAAATGAGTTTGACACCTTTGTTTTAAAGTGTAACCCCCCTGAGAAAGCAAAACCTCGCCCCTAATAGATTTTGAAAAATTCCTCCAAACTGAGCAGAGCCAAGAGAGACCCCGCCAAATGTGGGGATAAAGCGAAGGGGTGTGATCAGAATGAAGGATGCACTGTTTTCAGTATGTTGTTATATTTTTTGACTTTTCAGAGACCTCTAGTAATTTGGTTTTTTATTATTACTGTTTGCTTTACAAAAACCCGCAGAGTGGTAAATCTATTAACTTTCTTTCTTTGTTGTTGGAAACTTTTATGGTGAGAATGCTCCAGTTGAGCAGCACCAAGTTCCAGCAGCCGAACTTTTGTATCCGTTTGCGTTGACTGGTTTGGTTTGGTAGTTTTCCTTTATTGAATCACTCTATGTTCTCCCAGTCTCTGTGGACACAAATTAACCCTATTCTCCTGGGACGTGAAGCATTATACTCATTACAAATGTGTGTGTGTGTGTTGTGAACTGTGATAAAGGCCAGTTCATTTGGCTGTTCCAGATGTAAATTGATAGTTGACTGTACAGACTCACAGATTAGGGTGTGTGTGCTTGTGCACATGGTTGTTGTGTGTTAATAAAAGGTCAGGATCCAAATCCCAGCGGATCTGCTCTAGCTACAAATAACAGACTTGTATGTTTCCATTGGGGCTTTACAGCACTGTGGGAAATTGGGACTGGATCGTCAAGGAAAATGTGATTTAAGATGCAATAAATATTTTTTCCCCAGTGCTCCATTCTCAAGGAGCTCTTTAATAAATTAGTCTGTTTTATCTTTGTGCTGAAAACTGTAAAACGGTGTTTAAATTCATTTGACCTTGTTACAATCAGTTTTATAAATTCATTTCTCTTTTTTTTCTGTAACTTTAGTCAGATAAAACTGCACACCATTGTGTATAATAAGCAATAATTTTATTGTGAATTATTGATACTAAAGTGCAGAATCTTTTCTAAATGGAGCTTTTCTTTTCATTCACATAAAATATATTAAACATCTTGACTGTGATTACTTTGAACAATGTTTACTCTTATTTAAAAAAAATGTTTTGTTTATTCTTTGTATTTTTTTATTTTTTATTTTTTGGCAGGAATGTGGTCTCATTCTATGACCGTACAAGACTACCAAGATTTAATTGATCGGGGATGGAGAAGGTACGTTCATTATTTGTTTTATATCGAAAAAGTTTTACCCTCATCCCACAAAAGCTTGGACATGTATTCAAATAAAAACCAGTTTTACTTCATTTGTTTGTATCTTTATTGCAGTTTTATTTGTCTCATTGGGTGTTTCTGGGGTAGCTTTGCTTCCATTTTATTTGTTTGCTATAAGAAGTCATTTTTGATTGTTAAGCTGCTGCCTGGTCTTATTTTTTACTCATGGGTGTAAAAGCCTTTGTAAATAAAAAAAATATTAATTGGCCATTTAGAAGTAAATTTCTGCCAGGAAAACTTAGAAATTTGTAGATTAATTTCACATATTAAAAAGAAGATAACTTATTCTTTTATGTCAGTCATTTGCAAGTTTCCAAAAAAAAATCTCAATTTTTTGTCATTAAACACATAAATTTACAGTATCAAAGCAAGATATATTTTCAGAATTTTTCTGAGGTTAGAAACTCATTTGCCAAAAAAGAAGCAGAAGTCGACTATAATTGAAGGTGTAAATGTTGGAGATGCACATTTGGATATTTCTGGGTATACACCCAGGAGATAATCTGATATGAAAAAAAAACGGGATCTACCCCTTATGCTTTGGGAAAAAAAACAGATGCTCATCTCCTAAATTTACTACTTTAATCGTAGAGGAATTCTGTTCAATTTGTTGTAAATGTCTGATTTTATGTATCTTGTTTCTTTATTTTGCTTTTCATGTTTTACCTTGGTAATTTGATTTTGTTTTCTTTTGGTTGATGTCTTGTTATTTTCTCTTTAGTCTAAGTAGTATCTATTTTTCAATGTACACCATGACCATCCACTGTGGTTCATAATTTAGGCATAAGCTTGAATTTGACTCTTTTGCTCTTTTTGCCTGAGATGGACGATCCAGTCAGTAATCTGAATGCTTGTCTTCTCCTTTCACCTGCTATTCTGACATATCAGTGTAAAGTCTTTAAATAGAGAAGATTGACTTTAACAGTACAGTTTTGTTTTTCAGAAGTGGGAAATATGTTTACAAGCCCATAATGAAGAAGACATGCTGTCCTCAGTATACCATCAGGTAATTCTTTTCATTAAGCATTCACATTACGATGCACTACTCTGGTAAATATTTGCGTTACAAATATTTACCGATCCAGAGAACAGCTGGAATCAAATTTATACATACACTGCCAACTATTTTTCAGTTGTGTCTCTAAAAAACTGCACCTCTGGATGTTTAGATGCTTTTTTTTGGCATAATTATTAAATTGCCTTTTTTTTCTTGGCCCAAACTAAGTTTTTAATCATAATCTGTTTTGGGCTGGGTATTCCAGGACGTTAATGTTTGCACCTCTTTATCCATTCAGAAGCTAGTTTTAAGGTTGTCGATTTCTTGTGGTGTTGAAAAGATTTTGAGACAGCCACAGTTTTTCACTATTCCTTACCCTTTTTGTGATGCCACTACCACTGGCTAGCCAAACAGACCCTCAGCATGACGCTACCACTGCCGTGTCTGAAAGTTGAACAGTGTTCCAAAGTCTAAAAGCTTGACTTTCCCAAACATTATTCTTTTCACTGAGCTCAATCTTCATTTCATCGTTAAAGACTCTCATTAAAAGTTTCTCCAGAAGGCTTTTAGCTTGTTCATGTGGCCTTTTACAAATTTCACACGAGCTTTAAAGTTTGGAGGGGCGGCTTGTTTGTTGGGTTAGTACACTCTGTCCATGGCAAAAGTGACTTGACTGTGGAAAATGACTTTGTTGTTCCCTATTATTTAGGGTTGACAATTTGGATCAGATGGTTGAAAAGTAGACCCATTTGCATGTTCCAGCTGGATAATAAGGCCAAACACACATCAGATGTGGTTTTGCAATAAATAAATCAGGCTAACATTAAGCTCAAGAGTTGCTCAAACCTCAGCCTATACAAAACTGTATCGGCTACACTAAAAAGCCTTGTCAATGCAAGGAAACCAAGCCATTGAAATGAGCGCTGCCATTGTTCTACTATTCAGCCGACTTTATGATGACTGCATGTTATATATTTATTTATTTTAGTTTAGCCACGACTTGCTAAGGGATGTTGAAATTTCTTGTGTTTATATTTGGGCCTCAGTGTGTAATGATGACAATGTGTAGATAAGAGAAAGTCTACCAGACATTAAACTTGGGCACTAAGTTATTTATTTTAAAACCACTAAAGAAATACACCAGTAAAAGCACAAACTGATGTTAATCTTGGAGAGGAACTGTCCACCCAAACTGAACATTTCTAACTTTATTTGATCTTTTCTGCCTCAAGGTGTCATGCACTGAATTTCCAGCCTTCTAAATCTCATAAGAAAATCCTGAAGAAAATGAACAAATATATTTCTAAAGGAGACCTGCCTGCAGCTCAGGAGGATGGTAAGAAGGTTGCTCCTGCATGCACAGAAAATGTTTTGTAAATGTATGAAAAACATTGGGGTTACTGGTTCTGGGTTTGTAGTACACGCTAGTTGCATAAATGTTTTGTTTTATGTCCTACAGGGGAGCCAATGGATTCTGTCTGTGAAGATGCTGGTCCACGGGAACCTACTAAAGTCTGTCAGTCAGATTTAAAAGTTGCTGCTCGCGCAGATATTAAAAATGAAATACCAAACTGTTCCGCTGCTGAAGAAGTTCAGAAAAACTCGGTGGATTCTACAGCTGGAAGCTCAGAAAATTCCCAGAATGATTCAGCTTCTGTCTCAGAAGGGGGAACAGATGCCAAAGCTCCTAACCCAGGTAAGAAAAAGATGCATAGCTCTTTTTAAACAAACATAATTCCCATGAGCCAAACTTTTACAATTTTAAGTTGATAGTAATTGAGGGCCACAAAATAATAGATTTTTTAAACTAAAATTTCCCCCCAAAATTGTTAAATGTTTTGTTTTTATTTGCACAACATTTTCATAAAATGAAGAAGTCTGATTTCCATAGAAAGCTGAACTGTAGATTATTGTAGATCTGAAACATAAAATCTGGGAGGTTTGTCTTGTTTAAAAATCAAAAACAAACAGCTACAAAGCATCCTTAATGATGAGTGTTTTTTCTGTTATCTTTGGATCTGAGCAACATTTATAGCATATAGATCAAAAGCATTTGCTTTATCTAGTGGAGTTTACTAAAAGGATGCATCATGTCAGTCCATGAATGAGGGTCACTGAATGTTTGTGGTCCCGTTTATGATTAAATTTAATGAAATGAGTACTTTGTGTTGTACCGTTGATATTTATGAGACTTTATTTTGGCTATATCTTTTTCAAAAGGCAGTGAAATTTTCACTGTAAGATTTATCTGCATCAACCTCCAACTTTGAGCTGGAAAAACAAGTTTGTGCCATTTTTGTATTGCAGTGGACGCCCACATAAAATCACTTTGAGGGCCACAAATGGCCCCCAGGCAGCACTTTGGACACCTCTCTTATAAAGCATTAAAATGTAAGAAAATCTTCATGTTCTGTAGCTTTTTCTAGCCATTATGGACTCCTGCTGTGCCGTTGTTCTGCAATATTTTATTTCCACTGCCTTCCAGAAGGTGTCACTGTTCACCAAGCTGCCCCTCTCTGCAGCAGTTTGGACGCAGTTGAGCTCTCCCCTTCGTTATTAGGAGATTGTCTGACTTGGACTTGTTTTTCATATTCCTCTCGTCACTTGGCCAGCACAGGATATCCTCATAGCCAGCTTTCTGTAATGAATCAACAGTTCTCAAGTGGGGGAGATAATAAACTCCCTCTAGATACAGGAAGTAGAACTTTTGTTTCCAAAAACTTAATGAGAGCAGCTCCCAACGCAGGGGCAGGATGGTTCTGAACAAGCTGAGCTTTTCGCAGACATAAACATTCAGTGAGAAATTGCAGCAGTGGCAGCGCTGTTGTTCCACTATGCCTGTGTCAGCACCAGTCTTCTCTGAGCTACAGTGTCAGGAATAACAAGCCTTTTCAGCAAAGCGGAAACAGGAGGATTTACTGCCCACCCCGCTACCCCTGCATTTACCTCCAGCAGAAAACACCTGGTCATATATTTCCTCAGCTTTTATTACTAGAGGCTTTATACCTTTAGGGAGGATCCCGTTCCAGGTTGAGAAAACACGACTTCCCATACCTTAAATGCAGACAGGGGTCTCAAAGGAATGAGCCAATACAGAAATGTAAGATTGTCCTGTTTTAATTACTGTAGAAAGTTTCTTAGGTAGACAGAAAATGACTCACACTTGGGTTTTAAGCAGAAACCCAAGTGTGAGTTTTAGTAACTCTGACATTGGACAACCTGGATCATCTTTCCAGTTTACATACAAAACAGCTGTATTTGAATTACATTTACACTTTACAATCAGTGTATCTTGTTTAATTTCCTTCAAAATGGACGATGACTATCCCAGATTTTATGAAGTGTTAACTGCAGGACTGAAAACATCCGTCTTGAACAGGAAGTAATCTGCCAGAGTTTATCTTCACTGCAGCTGTATTCTTTATCCTCAGGAGTAAACATGTCTCTGTGTGATATTAAGAAGGAAAGTATCTGTTATTGATGAGGGTGTAGCGAAACAAGATTTGTGCACTGACAACTTCGGTTCAATTGGATCAGAAACAGGCAGCGTAAAGATGCGCTTCAAGATTCAGCAACCCACCAAACAAGCAATCATTTGCTCTTCAGAAGACAGCATCTGCTTTAAAGTAGGAACTAAACTGCCTCTTCTTCATGACATCATCAGAGGGGAAAGCTCGTCAGTGGGCTGATGTTGGCAGCTGGCAGCGGTGCAAGCAGGATACGACTATCACTTCCTTATTGCTCCAAACAGGATGCGGGGGTGTAAACTGTTGACATGGGATGCCCGGAGTCCTACAGGGCTTGGCAGGAGCCCAAGACGTTGTAGTGGTGGGGACGGAAAAGGGGGGGGGGGACACATAGAAAGAAAACAGTTTGTGTGCATGAAAAACAAAACTGTTTCCATTAGCTTTCTTCCTGTAAGGGATAAACTCATTTTAGTTATGATGACTTATGCTTCTTAGTAAATACTACATACCTGGTAACCATCTGGACTTTATTTGCCCATTCTTTATTGCTTTATAACAGTTCAGAAGCTGCAACAATGTCCACAACACATAAAACAGCCCGATGGTCAGATATTCAGCACAGTTTTAGGCTGAAACCAGAGATGCACAGATCAATTGACTCCGTTCA